CGAAACCCCATCTCTACTGAAAATACAAAAATTAGCCAGGCATGGTAGCATGTGCCTGTAATTGCAGCTACTCAGGAGGCTGAGGCAGGAGAATCACTTGAACCCAGGAGGTGGAGGTTGCAGTGAGCCGAGATTGTGCCACTGCACTCCAGCCTGGGCAACAGAGCAAGACTGTCTAAAAAAAATAAAGAATGAGTGAGGGGGAAAATGTCATATACTTTTAAACAATCAGATCTTAATGAGACTCACTATTGCAAGGATGACACCAAAGGGATGGTGCTAAACCATTTATGAGAAATCCACCCCTCCCAACAGGCCCCACCTCCAACATGGGGATTACATTTCAACATGAGATTTGAAAGGGACATCTAAAGTATATCTTTCTGCCCCTGGCCCCCTGAATCTCATGTCCTTCTCACACTAAAATAGATACCTGCCCAATAGTCTCCCAAAGCCTTAACTCATCTCAGCATTAACTGAAAAGTCACAAATCTCAAGAACAAGGTTCAATCTAGAGGTAAGTTTCTTCTACCTATAAGGTTGTAAAATCAAAAAAAGTTACTTACTTCCAAGATATAATTGGGGTACAGGCATTGGGTAAATGCTCCTTTCCCAAAGAAGAGAAATCAGCCAATAGAAAGAAGCTACATGCCCCACGCAAGTCTGAAACACAACAGAGCAGTCATTAAGTCTTAAAGCTCCAAATAATCTCCTTTGACTCCAGGTTCCACATCCAGGACACACTGCTGTGAGGAGTGGGCTCCACTTCACCTCTTGGGCAGCTTTACTTCTGTGGCTTTGCAGGGTTCAGCCACCATAGTTGCTGTCATGGGTTGGAGTTGAGTGCCTGAAGCTTTTCCAAGCTCAATATGTAAGCTACTGGTGGATCTGCCATTCTGGGGTCTGGAGGACAGTGGCCCCCTTTCCACTAATTCACTAGGCAGTACTCCAGTGGGGATTGTGTGTGGGGGTTCCAACCCCACATTTCCCCTCTTTACTGCCCTTGTAGAGGTTCTCTGTGAGGGTTCCACCCCTAAGCAGACTTCTGCCTGGGCAACCAGGCTTTCTCATACATCCTCTGAAATGTAGGTGGAGGCTGCCAAGCCTCCTTCACTCTTGCACTATGTGTGCCTATGAGCTTAACACCACATGGAAGCTGCCAAGGCTTACAGTTTGTACTTGTTGAAGCAGCAACCCAAGCTGTATCTGGGGTTCACTGGGCTAAGGCTGGAGCTGGAGAGTGGCCTGCATGCAGGGAGCAGTGTCTTAAGGCTGTGCAGGGAAGCAAGACCCTGAACCTGGCCCATGAAGTCATTCTTTCCTCCCAAACCTCCTGACCTGTGATGGGAGGGGCAGCCTCAAAGATCTCTAAAATGCCTTTGAGGTCTTTTCTCCATTGTCTTGGCTATTAACACTTGGCTTCCTTTTAGTCATGCAAATCTTTCTAGCAAGTGGTTGCTCCAAAGACCCCCTTGAATTCCTCTCCTGATGATGCTTTTTCTTTCTCTGCTGCATGGCTAAGCTGCAGATTTTTCAAACTTTTATACTGTGCTTACCTTTCCTATATCAATTCCAACTTTAAATCATTTCTTTGCTTCTAAATCTGGCATAGGCTGTTAGAAGCAGCCAGACCACATCTTGAAACTTGCTGCTTAGAAACTTGTTCTACTAGATACCCTAAGTTATCACTCTTAAGTTCAAACTTGTACAGATCCTTAGGGCATAAAGAGAATACAGCCAAGTTTTTGCTAAGACATAACCAGGTGACTTTTGCTCTAATTCCCAATAAGTTTCTCATTTCCATCTGAAACTTCATCAGCCTAGACTTCACTGTCTCTATCACTATCAGCATTTTGGTTACAATCATTTAACCAGTCTGTAAGAAGTTTCAAGCTTTCTTTCATTTTTCTGTCTTCTTTGGAGCCCTTCAAACTCTTCAAACCTCTGCTCATTACCCAGTTCCAAAGCTGCTTTCACACTATTAGGTGTCTTTATAGCAATGCCCCAATTCTCAGTACCAATTTTCTGGATTAGCCTGTTCTTTGTGTTGCTATAGAGAAATATCTGAGGCTGGGTAATTTATAAAGAAAAGAGGTTTAATTAGGTCATGGTTCTGTAGGCTGTACAAGGATGACATCAACATTTACTCAGTTTCTGGTGAAGCCTACAGGGAGCTTTTACTCATGGCAGAAGGCAAAGTGGGAACAGGCATGTCACATGGCAAGGGTGAGTGCAAGAGATAACCCAGACATTCAAAGTAGAGCTAATACTAATCCTTCTCAAACCCTTCCAAAAAATTGAAAAGGAGGGAATACTTTCACATTCTTTTTATGAGGCCAGTGTTATCCTGATATCAAAGCCGAAGAAGTACGTTACAAAAAAAGAAAACTACATGCCAACATTCTTGATAAACATAGTTGATATAGATACAAAAATCTCAACAAAATAGTCGCAAACTGAACAACACATTAAAAGGATCATCTACCATGACCAAATGGGATTTATTCCTGAAATGCAAGGATGGTTCAACATACACAAATCAATAAATATGTTATATGAGATTAACAGAATGAATGACAAAAACTATATGATCATCTCATTAGATGCAGAAAAACGTTTGACAGAATTCAACAACATTTCACGATAAAGACTCTCACCAAGTTAGGTACAGAAGAAAAGTACCTTGACACAATAAAGGCCATATATGAGAAGCCCACAGCTAACATTATACCCAACAGTGAAAAATTGAAAGCCTTTCAGTTAAGCTTTGGATCAAGACAAAAACGCCCACTTTTGCCACTTTTATTCAACATAGTATTGGAAATTCTTGCCAGAGCAATTAGGCAAGAAAAATGAATAAAAGGCATCAAAATAGAAAGGAAGAAGTGAAAATGTCTATGTTTGCTGGTGTCACAATCTTATATGTAGCAAACCCTACATACTCCACCAGAAAACTGTTAGAAGTAATAAATGAATGCAGTAAAATTGTAGAATATAAAATAAACACTAAAAAGTACATTTCTATAAACTAACAACAAACTATATGAGAAAGAAATTAAGAAAACAATCCCATTTTCAATAACTACAAAAAATATTTAGGAATAAATTTAACCAAGGAAGTTAAAGACCTGTACATTGCAAATTACAAAACACTGGTGAGAAATTGAAGAAGACATAGACAAATGGAAAGATATCCCTTATTCATGGATTGGAAGAAAATATTGCTAAAATGTCCATACTACCCACAGTGATCTAGAGTTTTAGTGCAATCTTTAACAAAATTCTAACATCATCTTTCAAAGAAATAGAAAAAATATCTTAAAGTTTCTATGGAACCTCAAAAAACCCCAAATAGCTAAGGCAATCATGGGCAAAAAGAACAAAGCTGGAGGCATTACTTTCCCTGATTTTAAACTATACTACAAAGCTATAGTAATTAAAACATCATGATCCTGGCCAAACCATAGACCCATCAACCAGTGGAACAGAATAGAGAACGCAGAAATGCACCCCATATGTATGGTCAATTGATTTTTTTTACAAAGGTGCCAAGAATACACAATGGGGAAAGGATAGTCTCTTTAGTAAATGGTGTTGGGAAAACTGGATATCCACATGCAGAAGAATTAAATTGGACCCTTATCTAGCATCATATATAAAAATCTACTCAAAATGGGATGAAACCTTAAGCATAAGACCAGAAACTGAAAAATTGCTTGAAAAAAATCTAAGGGAAAAACTGTATTGTTCTAGGTAGGGTTTTTTTGGATCTGAATCCAAAAGTGCAGGCAACAAATGCAAAAATAGACAAATGCGATTATAACAAACTAAAAGCTTCCGCATAGCAAAGGAGACAATCATCAGTTTTCAGAGACAACCTGCAAATTGGGAGAAAATATTTGTAAGTCATGCAGTCAATAAGGGGCTAATATCAAAAATATATATGGAGCTCAAACAACTCAATAACAAGAAGACAAAAAACCCAATAAATTATCTGCAAAGTACCAGGAAAGGGAGATGGAAGTAAAGCAAAAATAAAAAATGGACAAGAGACCTGAGTAAACATTTCTGAAGGGAAGACATGCAAATGACCAACAGATATGTTTAAAAAGTGCTCAACATTGCTAATCATTAGAGAAATGCAAATTAAAATCACATTGAGTTATCATCTCACACCCGTCAGAATGGCTACTATCAAAAAGACAAAAGGCAACAAGCATTGGTATGGATGTGGAAAAAAGGGAATCCCTGTACACTTGTACACTTGGTAGGAATGTAAATTAGTACAACTATTATGGAAAACTGCATGGAGGTTTCTCATAAAACTTAAGAAAATTATCATATGATCTAGCAATTCTACTTTTGGGTATTTACAAAAGTAAATGTTCATTGCAGCACTACTCACAATAGCTGAGTTATAGAATCAACCTAAGTGTCCCTCAACAGATGAATGGATAAAGAAAATGTGGTGTGTGTACACAATGGAATAGGATTTAGCCTTAAAAAGGAGGAAATTCTGTCATTTATGACAACATAGATGGAATTGGAAAACATTATGTTAAGTTAAGTAAACCAGGCAAAGAAAGACAAATAGCACGTGTTCTTACTTATATGATGTAAAACAATCGAACTCGTAGAAGCAAAGTAGAATGGTGGTTACAGAGACTGGGATAATAGGGCAATAAAGGTCAAGGGTACACAATCTCAGTTAGCAGAAATATATTTTGAATTCTATTGTACAGTGGGGTGAATGTAGTTAATATTGGTGTATCATACATTTCAAAATTGCCAAGAGTAAATTTCAAATATCTTTACCACAAAAAATGTTAAATATTTTAGGTGATAGAGATGTTAACTGGCTTGATTAAATTATTTCACATTGTATTTAGAAATCATAATATCACTTTGTACTCATAAATTTACAAAATTATAAATTGTCAATTTGTAGTTATAAAAAGAAATGCAAGCTATAGTAATACTTTATTGTTTTTCTTCTCCAGGCAATAAGCTTATTCATTTTGGTGGGATTTGTAGGAGAGTTCCAAATTTTTTCAAGGTGAGGACTTTTTGGGTTGTGTGTAAAAATCATTAAATTAAAAAAAAGTTTTAGAAATTCTTTAGTCTAATTTTGACATTGCAGTTTGAATCTGTGTATCCCTCTAACATATTTTCTCTTTCCATATTTTTATAAAAGACAATGATAACAAAAGTGTGTTTTAAAAATTATTCTTCTTTTACTTAATTTTTCTCCCTGTAAAATGGAAGACTAAAAGTATAAGTTTTTTGTACCAGTGCTGTGGTTTTATCTGTAATGCAGATAATCACAGTGGACTTATATATCTTAGAGCAATATTTGGTCTTTAAATGTAACCCTTGCAAAACATCCTCTGGATTTTAAAGGTTGAGAGTTTTTTAAGAAAATAGTCTTGTCAGTTCTTGAGGCCTGGAGAAAAGCCAGTATCGTTTATCCAAGGCTTTGTTATTCTCTCACTGTGTCAGATTGACAAGACAGAGCCAGGTCAGTTCACTTTATGGAACGATCAGAAAATGTGTCAGGGGCTGTGCTAGGTACTGGGGATACCGCAAGGAGCAAGAAGGCACTGGGAGCATGCTGGGTGATTCGTATCTTGAGCCAGTTCATGGCAATATGAATGTGTTAAGGGCTCGGACAGAGGCCTGCTCAGGGTGATGTGGGAGCACAGCAGGAAGGTCAAGCAAACTTCCTCTCCTAAGCCTCCATGTTTGGGGAAGCCCTCTGCGTTTCCCCAGGACAGAGACTAGAAAAATAACAGTAAGTTCAGATTGTTCAAGGTTGTCAAAAGTATTCAGGTATTTTGATCATTGGTACCCTATGAAAACCACAGGTTGGCAAGATTGGCCCTGTGAAAGCAGCCGAGGCACACACTACAGAATGACAGTCGTTACTTTCAGAGTAACCTGACCCTCTTAAGACATGCAAGAATCATCTTGACTCAAGATATCGCCCAGCCGAGGAATGTGCTGGGAATCCAGAATTCAGGAATACTAGTTCTTTTATCCTTCGTAGAGCATCATTTTAGGCAAGGCTTCCTTAGTCTCTTAAAGCTGACTCGGGTAGTCTTTTCCATATGACACAGCCAGAATGTGAGCATTGTATGAGAGTCAACTCTCCATTTGTACATGTACTTTATTTTAGTGAAACTGTTTAAGCTCAAATTGCCCTCCTTGGTTGTGTGCTTGAGAAGTGGCCTAAATGAACAGGGGATGCATTTAAATAAATTCCTGTCCATTCAGCCTCTGCCAATTTTTCGTTTTCCACTTCTCATGGGGACTTTTTATAGTTTCTTCTCTCTCAGTTAAGTGTTTCTGGATAATTCTTCAACTCATCATTCAGAATCTCTTCAAAGGCCATAAAACCTTCCTCCCTTCAAAGGTCATAAAACATATTTACATATGTTTTCATCTACCCTCCCAACTCAAACTCTCCCTTATCTATATTCCCGTAACACATTATACTGAATGGATTTCTGTTCTGAAATCCATCAAATGAGATATATTGTACTACGATTATTTGTTTGTACATCTGTGTCTCTGTCCTTCCTTCTATTAATAATCAATGACCTACCTTTTTTTTTTAACAATTAAACTAAATTTTATTTTTTATTTTTTATTTTTTTCTGAGATGGAGTCATGCTCTGTCACCCAGGCTGGAGTGCAGTGGTGCAGTCTCAGCTCACTGCAACCTCTGCCTCCCAGGTTCAAGCAATTCTCCTGTCTCACCTCCCAAGTAACTGGGATTACAGGCATGCACCACAAAGCCCGGCTAATTTTTGTGTTTTTGGTAGAGATGGAGTTTCACCATCATGGCCCAACTGGTCTCGAATTCCTGACCTCAAGTGATCTGCATGCCTTGGTCTCCCAAAGTGCTAGGATTACAGGCGTGAGGTACCATGCCCGGCCAATGACCTACCTCTTTTATTATTTCTACAACTCTAGTGTCTTTAGAATCTGGCAGATAATAGATTTTTTTTTTTGAGACAGAGCCTCCCTCTGTCACCCAGGCTGGAGTGCAGTGGTGCAATCTCTGCTCACTGCAGCATCTGCCTCCTGGGTTCCAGTGATTTCTTTTGCCTCATCCTCCTGGGTAGCTGGTATTACAGGCACGCGTCACCCTACCTGGCTAATTTTTTTGTATTTTTAGTAGAGATGGGGTTTCACCATGTAGGCCAGCCTGGTCTTGAACTCCTGACCTCAGGTGATCTGCCTGCCTCAGCCTCCCAAAGTGCTCGGATTACAGGTTTGAGCCACTGTGCCAGCATAATAGATGTTTAGTAAGTTTTAATCTCTGAGTCAGTGGGGCTCCCTCCATTTTTATATATTTTAGGATGCTTTTAGTGTCTCTTAGGAAAAAATATTTGCGGCAACATTTAACTATTTTTGACTGTTTTCACTATTCTTTGTGTTCCCTTGTGTATCTTTCTACTTGCTTTATGACGGACAATTTGACACTGTGGCAGTGCCTCCTCTCCAGTCAACTGCCAGTGGGACTCCTATGCCCCTTGGTCAGAATGCAATGGCTGTACCAAGACTCAGGTAGGAACACACAAAACTTTGTATTTGATTATTTATGTGCAGAAATACTTAGGCATGGCCAAAATGGTATTATCTTTTGAATGTTCATTAAATAGTGTCAATGTTTTTTGAAAACCATGTTAGTAATTTTGAGGGGAGAAAAGTATGATCTGTTTAATAATTAATATTGTAATAAAGTAACTTGTATATTCATTTTTCTTGAAGGACTTTTCTAGATCTTATCTTGGAGCTAGAAATGTAGATAGGCTAAAAGTTCAAGGCAATTTACTAACTCTTTAACTATGAGAGAAATAGGAATAACATAGAACGAAATTTTTAGATAATTTAAAATGTTTTATATTCACTGAATTCAACTTTTCTTCTCATCTCAAACACACACTAGCAAATAGCAAAATGGCTGCTTGATTTTACTTCACAAATAGCGAACAACTATGAAAAAATATTTTGCAAAATATCTTAAAGCTTAATTGCTAAGTAATACAAGTACAATGTTGAACTTAATCTGAGTATTATAAAAAGCTTCTAAAAATGTTTGTATTCCTTATAAAATGTTCATTGGAGAAAATACAGAAAATTATAAAGAAATAAAGCATTATTCATAATTCTGCCTTTTTCTTTCTTTCTTTTTTTTTTTTTTTGAGTCGGAGTCTCGCTCTGTCCCCAGGCTGGAGTGCAGTGGCGCGATGTCGGCTCACTGCAACCCCTGCCTCCCAGGTTCAAGTGATTATCCTGCCTCAGCCTCCCAAGTAGCTGGGACTACAGGCGCGTGCCACTACACTCGGCTAATTTTTTGTATTTTTAGTAGAGACAGGGTTTCACCATCTCGGCCAGGATGGTCTCCATATCCTGACCTTGTAATCAGCCCGCCTCGGCCTCCCAAAATGCTGGGATTATAGGCCTGAGCCACTGCACCCGGCCAATTCTACCATTTAGAAGAAACAAATTATATAACAGTGTTTGGTATTTATTCCCTCAGCTCTGTGTACTTTTTCTCTGTGTATGCTTCTAATTTAAAAAAATGAGATTATTTTATCATAGCTTTGTGTTCTGCTATTTTAATCTAACATTATACTATCAGCAAAATAATTTATGACAGCAGTATTACGTTCCATGATATGAATATAGCCTTCTTATTTTTCCACTTTTTTATTGTTTGATTTATTTTTTATTTTTTTATTGTTTGACATTTAAATTGTTTCCATTTTTGTTATAAAGAAAAAACTTTAATAAACATTTTGAATGTAGATATCTGTCCTCTTTTCTCACATTTTTCTGAGAATAGTCCTAGAAATAAAATGTTCATCTTAAAGTTGCTGAACATTTGAAGAGTTAAATATTCTAGAAATAGTCCAGTTTGGGTAAAAATATATATTTAAAAATCACTTCTAATTAATAAAATAACAGAATCATACCACAGAAGATAATGATTATTTTGAAGCATCATCATTATCGTCAGGTATTTATTTAGTACCTACATGGTGGTATTTTCAAAACAAATTGCCTGAATAAAGCATTTGGCTTCTAGCAACTCTAATAAATAACAGCTCTGATTACAGGCAAACAGGTACATGAATAACAAGCAAAGGTCAAAGAAACATCAAACACGTTAAATATTTTTATCATTTAAAAAGAAGAAAGAACACTAAACAGAAGCAGAGAGATAGAGGGTGTTTTTTATACAAGCAATTTTTTTCTTTGCGTGAAGGTGCGATGGATACATCCCAGATTATAAAAACAAACTTTTCATTCAGAGAGAGACAAGTGAAAATGAGAAAGGGCCTATAGGGTCAGACTTTGACAGGTGAGAATGAGACTGTGGAGAGTGGCTGCCATCAAGGGCTCCCTGGTAATATGGAGAAGGAAAACACTTTCTTATGCAAACAATGCCATCTGTGCTCTGGAACTTCACAAAGGACACTGTTAAGTCACACATGAGCGGCATCTTCATCACTTACAAAGAGACTAAAGACGGTATCAAGACACCTTACCGAGTTCTGTTCCCACTCATATTCCTCAGTGGCTCCTTTGCTTAAACAAATGAAAGGCACTAGAGCCATGCTAGGGCTGGTGTGTACCTGCTCAGAGTTCAAATGACGCCACTGTGACCCCTCATGATAAGGAATTCCCACTTCTAACCCAATTTAGGATGGATAAATAAGTTCGACATTGATATGTACAGCAACTCTTCCCTGTTGATCTTCACTCAAGGTTTAAATCCTCAGGACGCTCAGTTTTGGTTCCATTTTTGTTTTGTTTTGTTTTCTTAATGGAGAAGAGGTGAGTACAGGAAAAGGTCTGGAAGATGCTCACTGATTGCCAGGGGTAGCTCTTTCTTTTTGTTTAAACATTAGATACATGTCTTCGTAGTGAATGAGGATTAAATAAACCTTAGTATGCATTAGTTCTGAGTTTCTCATTTAGTTTGATAATTTCTTCAGTTTTCCTATGTTCTTTTCCCTCAAGAGGTTTGTATTTTACATATTCCTTTGCAGACATAGCTTCATCTTTGGATTACTTAGGTTTCTGTTTTGTAAATTTGACTTCCATATTCATGTACTTCTCTCTGAATTGTTTTGCTTGCCTTTCTTCCTGAAGAAGGTTTACAGTTTAGCTGAAAGGAATTGCCGTTACTCTTCTGAAGGTTTCCCTAACTCTGCTTCATCTTAACCCTTTCCCAGTACCCTTATCCTCTCTCCAGAAAAAGTCATTTCACTTTCTCTAATGAACTCTTGGAACACAGATTTGGTAAATATACTAATCATTCTATGCTCTAATCTATTTGCTTATGTGTCTACCCTCTAAGCTATACTCAGGTTACTTTCTTTTTTCTTTTATTTTTCTTTTTTTTTGAGACAGCATCTCACTTTGTCGCCCAGGCTTGAGTGCAGAGCTGTGATCTCAGCTCACTGCAATCGGGTTACTTTCTTAAAGATTCACTAACCTGTTTTTGTTTTTTCTTTTTTTTTTTTGCATTTAATCCTGAAAGTCAATATATGCCTGGGAGCTCTCTATAAATAACAGCCAAAATATTGCTGAACTCAAGGACAAGTACATCTGTGGATTCATTGATTTTGAGGTTTTATTTCTGTAGAACACCAGAACAAATTTCCAGACATTGTTTATCTAATTGTATTACTTTCTCTCAGGTTTTATTACTCAGATAAAGGAAACTAGAGATATCTTTGAAAACAAACAAACAAACAAACCCCACTGCCTGCTTTGTGTTTAGACTCGCAGGCGGTCAGTTGCTGTGTATGCGCAGTATGGGGGCCAACCTTGTGTTGGAAATGCTTTTGAAACACAGTCCTGTGAACCTACAAGAGGATGTCCAACAGAAGAGGGATGTGGAGAGCGTTTCAGGTGTTTTTCAGGTAATTTGTTTTCCATAGGCTCAGCATGCAGATTGTAAATTCAAATGTTATTTGGTGAACTTGCTCATTATATATTTGTTAAATTTTACTGAATTTATATTGGCCTAAAATTAATTCCCCCAAATATCATCAGGATTTTTGTTGGTATGTTAATCACACACTCAGCTATCATTTTTTCAAATGCAAGGGGAAGCATCTGGTAATAAACACAGGAATGCTCTTTGTCTCTTTGAATGGAGCTCTGGCTACTGACAGACCCAAATAGTTCTTGACAGTGTATTTTGAGTAAAGATGCAGAGTGAGTCTTGTACATACATTGAGATTAGACAAAAACAATGTTACTGCCTAAATTATTATATCTACAAGAAAGGCTACCCTAATGAATGGATTAAGGAGCAATACAGTTCTCTCTTATGCGTGGGGTAATTGAAACATAGTTTTGGCATTGAATATTATTTGACCAATACTCTATGTTGTATTTATGCAGTCAGATTAATGTAACAACATTTAGTAAACATTTATGATTCTTGTTTCAAATAGTAGTGAGGGTTGTATATACAAGTGAAACACATGCCTCTTCCCTCACAAATGTTAAAGTTTTATGGGCAGAATAGTACATAAATAATCCCTGTGTTAGAAGTGCTCCTCAATGATACCTGTTGAACGCTTATTTTACTTTCAAAATCCAAATTAGATAACAAATCCTTCAGGAAGCCTGCCCTAAATCCCCAACTGATAGAAGTAATTAACCAATCACTTCCATATGTTCCTTATGCGTATTGTACCATCTGTCATTTGGATATTTGTTGGCTTGAATGTCTCTCATGGTGAACTGTGAAGTCCTTGAAGACATGAATTACATTTCTTTCATGTTGGCTTCTGGAGTCCCTGGTACATAATACGTTCTCAACAAATGTTTGCTGCATTGGATTGAGTGGCAGTATAGCAGGATACATGTCCTATAAGGACAGCTGTGCACCAAACATCTTATGAGGACATAGAGGAAGAACATGTATCAGGGCCTGTGAGGCCGGGATGGCTTTCAAGAGGAGATAATGTTTAATTTGATTCTTGAAGGACAAGTAAGAGATAGGTAGAGAAAACCCTTCTAGGCAGAGAGAACTAACAAAGTGCAAGATCACTGGAGATGACAGAAAGCTTAGCCTTTTATTCATGCAGGTAGTCCGGTATGACTAGCGTATAAGAAGCTAGTAGGAGAACGGCTGGAGAGGATGCTGGGGAGGTAGACCGGAACTGGATCATCTGGTACTCTCCAGTGCTTCCTTGGTACTCTAGATTTATTGCTATCATAATAATTATGATCTATGTCTTTGTAGTATTTCCTATTAGATTGTAAAGTATATGAAAAGTCTGGCAAAGGCCATTTTTATTCATATTTGTATCCCAGCCCCTATTGTGCTAAAGAAATGTTGAATTTTAACCTTTTGATAAAATTGTCCTGCTTTTAAAGCTTATAAATTTAAATTACCAAGAAAAACTCAACTTTATCATCTCAGAATGACAGAAACAAACTGAAAGTTGAAGGTCAGGAAGTCAGTCTATCTTCCCAGTAGTTGGAATTATATACTTTAGACAAGCTGCTTGATGATTATGTGTGAGATCCTGAAATTCTGAATTCAGATCCTATTTTCAATTTTGTGTCTAACTGAGTTAGGAACCATTTCCGTGTGCCACAAAATGGAGACAAAATAATCACTAGTCCTTTCCTGGACAGTCTGAGGATTTATCTCCCATTTACATCGGCGTATCAGTGCAGTGTTGCAGGTGGCAGGAAAAACCTTTTTGGTCCTGGGTAGTGTTTCTCTTCTTCCCTCTTTTACATTTGCGCATGGATTTTTCTTGTGTTCAGGTCAGTGCATCAGCAAATCGTTGGTCTGCAATGGGGATTCTGACTGTGATGAAGACAGTGCTGATGAAGACAGATGTGAGGACTCAGAAAGGAGACCTTCCTGTGATATCGATAAACCTCCTCCTAACATAGAACTTACTGGAAATGGGTAAGGTGCTGGGCAGTCTCCTGAGTACATCAACGAATTACAGTTTTAAATTTTGTTTTATTTTATGGTTTGGTAAGTCTAAGAACAAGTCTTCTAATACGCAAGATTCTTCATTGTCTCAGAGCTCTTTGCCACATCCTGAGACAGTATTTTTGTTCACACATGTATACCTATAGATACATGTGGTGAGATGTAGAGTGACTCCTTGTCCTGGGATGGTCCTGGTTTTAGCACTGAAATTCTAATTCCAAGACATCCCTCAGGCCCAGGGAAACCTGGACAGTTGGTCACTTCATGGGGATTGGAAGGGAGGGGGAGAGAGAGAGAGAGAGAGAGAGAGAGAGAGAGAGAGAGAGAAAAAAGACTGATTCAATAATGTGGGACTATTCAAGAGAATGAAGAGACAATAGAATGAGAACAGGATGAGAAGAGAGACAGAAGCAAGTGTGTTGTAATACCCAGGCTGAACAGCAATTGTCTAAACTAGTCAAGAAACTTTGTTTCCAAATGAAGATTGGAAAATACTGTGCTTACCTTATCAAAGAGAATTCTGAAGAAGTTTTAAGGGTCATATAACTTGTTAAGGTTTTGAGACCTAAAAATAGCTTATTTTAGAGTGAAAGAAGTAATTTTTCTGAAATATTTTAAAATTTATTAACAGAGAAATAGGGTAAAATTATTTGAAAGAGTATACCATTCAGTATGCTAAGAGGCAATTATTTAAAATTTATTACAGAGAGCTCTCCCTCCTTAAGAGTAACCTTAATTGTATTGGTTTTATCTGCAGATTCAATTCAAAACCAGCTGTTGCCGTAGATACAAAAGAGCCATGTGTTTCCCCAATATGTTCTTAGATGGAAAGAATGTTGGACTTTCCGAACTATTAGTTTTAGTGATTATACCAATCTGGGGAAACTGGATAATGCTTAGTATGCATTAGGATGCTGTGCTCTTCATTTGAGCTCTCTCGAAGAAGTATTTAACTGTAATGCATTTTAAGAATTTCTAGAGTTCTCTAATAAATTTTTTTCCCACCAAGTGGTGTTTCTGGTTTTTAATGGCTTTTTATCTCCTCCTTCTCCTCCTCCTCCTTTTAACAGTTACAATGAACTCACTGGCCAGTTTAGGAACAGAGTCATCAATACCAAAAGTTTTGGTGGTCAATGTAGAAAGGTGTTTAGTGGGGATGGAAAAGATTTCTACAGGCTGAGTGGAAATGTCCTCTCCTATACATTCCAGGTACTTACAACGTTATTGATTTCTAATCTGGAATTGTCAGACAGCATTATTTGTATGATATTGACTTTTAGGTATATGTTGAGAATTTACTTATAGTCTAATGTGTGGTCAGTTTTTATAAATGATTTATGTTGACTTAAAAAGTATACACAGTGTTTTTGCTTTGGGGTACAGGGCAATGATACTTTTAACATGTGTCATTCAAACTGACATATCCTTATACCTCATTTTCAACTTCATGTTCTATATGGGCCCAAGACCTTATTGTCTGTGCCAGCGCAGGCATTAAAACTTAAGGCCCCATCCATGACTGGTAATGATAGTCTCCTGACACTGCTACAGTGTCAGCTCACTTAAAATGCTTTTATTTTAAAATTGTGAACTATTTCATATATACAAATGAGTGTGGATAACATATATGTGTAATTTGAAGAAAACTGCCCTTATATGCCCACCATCTGCCTTAAGTGACTTAAAGGCACCTTTACGCCCCTCTCTGATCACATCCCTCTCACTCCTCAGGCAACCACTGTCTTATATTTTGTATTAATTATCCTTGTTTTTTCTATAAATGCTTATTCTTTATATGTCTTGGTCCCTAAATACAAATTTGTGATTTAGTTTTGCCTATTTTTTCCATTTGTATTAACAGAATCATATCTATTCTTCTGTAACTTTTTTCACTAAAAGTTATGGTTTTGAGATTTACTCATGCTATTGCAGGTGGCATTTTTATTGCTGTTTCCAATTTTTTCCTGTGAAAATGTCTTGAACATTCTTGTGCCTGAGTCCCACACAAATGAACTAGAGCTTCTCCAGGGCATACACCTGCAACTCAAATTGCTACCTCATAGGATATGTATGTATTAAATTTTACTAGGTAAAATATGCAAAATGGCTGGATCATTTCATTCGCCAGCAGTGGGGATGAGTGGCCTCCACTTCACATTCTTGCCAACAATGGTATTGCTTAACATTTTAATTTTGCTTATGATCGCAGATCTCCTCTGGCTCCAGGCTTCTGTTTCTCAAAAGCTATTTCTGTCATACACACCTAAACTCACCCATGAGTAGGTTTTGATCAACGCAAAACGTACTCATGCAAAACAGTTATGGCTTTAGGAAACTTTACAGAAGATTTAGAAGGAAGATAGAGGAGAGATTTTCTGTTGCAGTGATGCAAACATGTTAAAGCAATAGCAGTTGGCATTTTCTATCTTAAAACAACCTTCCACAGCCTTAGCACAATGAAATTTCTGGTCTCATTGGGTGTTAGCTTCTTTCTTGCTCTTGTCTTTCAAGATCTCCTCTCTCATTCCTTTTTCTTCCTTTGTCCCCAAACTCCAAAAATGTCTAATTCAGCTTTTAATATTGATTACTTCTAAATTTGTAAACCCAAACTACTGAAATGTTCAGACAAAAGGGCCTTTTGCTTACCCAAATTAACCTTCTCCAGAAAGCAGCTTTGATTATAAATAGCAAACATACCATCTTCCAATTTACCATGGAATAAGTTAGTTGCATTTAAGAGTTGCATTAAGAGTAATATAAATGAAAAGTAAAACAGATCTGAAAAATAATTGTAGCTACCAGTTTTTGAATACCTACTGTGGCATCTGCACTACTTTAGGTGATTAGCATAGGTTTAATTCTCACAGAAGCTTTGGAAAGTAAGCAATATTTTACTATTTTATATATGTAGAAACTGAGGCTCAAGAGGACTTCAGTTGACATAGTCAAAGTCACCAAATTAAAAAATTGTAGAGCTTAGGTCTGGTCTGTCAGATTTCACAGCCTTTTATTTTTCCATTACATTTTACTCGCCCCATGTATTTTGTTTAATTTCTTTTTCAACTCTATTCAACATGGCAAATAACATGTATTACAATTTAACCTTTGGCCAGAAAGGAGAATGTAAGATAGGCATATACAGATAATTTTTTCTCACTCTATTCCTTAGAGAATGTGTTCCTAATTCTTTCATAATTATAATGTGGAGACTTGCATGTATATTTTTAAAAGGGTCAAATTTAGAAAGCTACAGAGCAGAGAAAATAATAAGAAAGAGCGTTTCTGACTTCGTTGGAAGGTAGACAGGCAGGAAGTCTGCATTTCTGAAGAAGAGGGATAATTTAATAACAACGTGATCCTGACATTCATTTTCCTCAGCAGGGCTTGGTCTTTAGATTGACATCTGAAATGCCTTCCCCAACACTGAATGTGAAGGTGTTTGTCAGAGTCGAGGGAAATTATAGCCTGTTATAGAGTGAGGAACAGAGATGTTTTGAGGAGCCAGTCTGAGGGAAGTGAAGTAGAAGCAATAGGCAGTGAGTCAGTCATGCAAATGCTAAACCCAGGTGTGGACGCAGAGGTGGTGAATGTCCTCCATGGTTCAAATAAATCCATCTCGGGTCCACTGGGTATTCAGCTCTCTTTGAGGTGGAAAGTGATTTTTGACTTATTGGAGCAAAAATATTAGTGAATAAACATAAATAAACATAGAATAAATAAACATAAAACAGAATCAGCCATTCTCTCTTATAATCCCTGTTTTGGTTTCTAGCATTGTGGTTTATCCAGGGCAAACCCAATTTCTTGTTGAGTAAGCTACTTAACTTTGATCTTGTGCACATTTTCTATCTACTTGTATTTTTTATACAACAAGGAAGGCATTTGTGGCTTGGGAAGGTTCCCCTCTGGCTAGTTCAGCCTGAGAGATGGCAGAAAGACTGTTGTGTTTATTCTCAGTGTGGGATGAGTTGCAGAAAGGAATGAATTATCAAGGTGGAGAAACTTCATGGCTTCTTCTGTGTTTGGTCTTGAATATACTTCATTTTATATTTTGAAGAGAAATCCTAAGTGCGTATCAAATGAAAAACAAAAACAAATTCTAAAGCCAATTTTAATGAATGCTACATTATCTAAGCCTTTGCTTCCTCTATTGGTATGAGGACTAAATACCTGAGATTTCTAAGTCTACCTTGTTAGCTAGGAGTAATTTAAATAATAGTTAAAAATATCTCACATATAAGAACCCTTTATATACTAAGCACTGTTCCAAGAGCTTTACATGGATCTGTTTTCCTTATAATAACCTAAGGAGGAAGTTACTGGCATCTCATTTTACAAATGAGAAAACAGAGGCAAAAAAGCTAAATAGCTTATCCACAGTATAGAAGATGACAAAGGTGGGGTTTGAACTTTAGAAGTCTGGCTCCAAATCCCCTCTTAGCAGACACTATACTTACAAGCATTTTATATAGTATGTATATGTATGTATGTACGGTGAATATCTCTATCTACATGTATATCGTGTCTCATTCTATATGTGGGTGGGAGAGAGAGAGAAAACGAAAAAACAGGAGGGCAAGAGGAACACTTTTTTTTTTTTTTGAGAGGGAGTCTCACACACCCATTTCCCCAGGCTGGAGTGCAGTCATGTGATCTTGGCTCACTGCAACCTCTGCCTCTTATGTTCAAGCGATTCTCATGCCTCAGCCCTGCGAGTAGCTGGGATTACAGGCGTGTATCACCATGCCTGGCTAATTTTTGTATTTTTAGTAGATACAGGGTTTCGCCATGTCAGTCAGTCTGATTTTGAACTCCCGTCCTCAAGTGATCCACCCGTCTTGGCCTCCCAAAGTGCTGGGATTACAAGCGTGAGCCACTGACCCTGGCCCGAGGAGCACTTTTGAATAACTGAATGAAGTTCAAACTGGCTGGATTACAGAGTGAAGTGTGAAGAGTTGTAAGAAATGAGGCTATAAGTGATCAGGAAAGTAAATAAAAAAGACTTTTTTTCTGGTTAGTTAAGGAGTTTGGATTAAAAAAGTCATTAGAGAGTTTAAGAAGGGTTGCTACTCATATGAACAGTGGAGAATAGATTGGAAGGTGGCCGAATGGGGGAAAGAAACCTGGTTAGAAAACTGTTGTAATAATCCCTGAGGGACATAATAGTGGCCTGAGAAAACTTGGTGAGTTGCTGAATGCAGGGTATGATGGAGAATGAGCAGTCTGGGATATGAATGGGTTTCTGGGTTTCTGACTTGGACCAATGGCCAGACGAAAATACAACCCTCTGAGATGGGTAAAGATCCATTTGCAGGGAGAAGACAAATTCAGTTTAGGTATCTAAAGTATGTCCAAGTGCTCAGGAGAAAGTGTTTGAGCTGGAAATACACATTTGGTGATTATTAGTACAGGAATGGTAATTGAAGGCACAGAGTAGAGAACACTATTGCTCTTGGAATCAGCATGGAGGAGTAATAGAAGGAGATGCATAGAGGAGTCTTAGAAGAAACAGCCACAGAGAAAAAAAGAAAACTAGAAAGCCAACAGAAGAGAGTATTTCTGATAGGAGAGAGTGGTCAACAGTGCCAAATATTGTTGGGAGAAGTGTTCACTCTCTGGTGAAATAAGGAAGGTGCCAGCAGCATTGTTGGAAGTCAGACCATTGTAGGTAGAAGAGTGAATGGGAGGTGAAGAATTTAAGATAATTAATTATAGTCAACTCATTTAAAGTACTGAGATGGGAAAGTAGGAAAGTAGGAAAGAAGGAATGTATAGTAGCAGGTAAAGCCTTTCTTATTTTAGTCGGTTGTGTTAGAACATGTGTAAGTTTTGACAGAAAGGAGTAAGTAGAGCAAGAAAAATGGAAGCTGTCGGAGAGGGAACGATCAATCCATGTAATCCACCCTCTGAAGAGGTCAGAGAGAATGCAATACAGAGAAGAGACAGAAAATTTAGCCCCAGACAAGGGGAGGAACACCTATGGAGAAAAAGAAGGAAAGAAAAGTTAATAAGTTTGTAGATTTGTTAGCCAGCAGTTTAAGAGGTCTCTGAAGATAGGAGTTTTTGTAAAGAAAGAGGTAAGATCATCTTCTGAGAGTGAAGGAAGTGGCTGTAGAATTGGGGAACTGAATTTTGAAAAATTTTCAAAATTTTGCAGAATGTAAAAATAGGTAATATAAAAATAGAGAATGGGAGAAGGGGAGAACTGACTAGAGAAATAAAGTATTGTTGGATGGTATTGAGGATTCTACTGAAGTTGAAAAGCACGAATGGATTTATAGTGGCACCAATCTGTACAGTTGTGCAATTTTTTTTTTTTTTAGACGGAGTCTTGCTATGTCACCAGGCTGGAGTGCAGTGGCGCAATCTCGGCTCCCTGCAACCTCCCCTTCCTGGTTTCAAGCGATTCTCCTGCCTCACCCTCCCGAGTAGCTGGGATTACAGGCATTTGCCACCATCACCAGCTAATTTTTGTATTTTTAGTAGAGATGGGGTTTCACCATGTTGGCCAGGATGGTCTCCATCTCCTGACCTTGTGATCTGCCCGCCTCGCCCTCCCAAAGTGCCGGGATTACAGGCATGAACCACCGCACCCAGCCAGTTGTGCGATTTTCTGGAGTAGTGCGAAAATGCTTGACTTAGCAAGCCTGGGCTGAGTTTTTGCCAGGAAAACATGATAGCAGGTCATCTAGGCAAGGAAGTTAAATCCATTGGCAAGAGACTGGTTGAAGTCATGAGCCAAGAAGCCTAAGCTGAAACAGGAAGGAAGTGAAAAAACTTAAAGTACTGAGAGCGAGAAAGGGGGAGAATAAGTGGAAGAACGTGTTTCTATAATGTTAAATAATAGATGTGGCAATAATAAAATGAGAGTTAAAAGAATAAGAGATGTTGGAATATAGGATGGTTGAATTTGGGATTTCAGAGGAAGAATCAGTCTTGGAGGATTCAGGATCTAAGCTGGAAGAAGGAGGGTATTAATTAAGGAAAATTTAATAAGACCACATCACTTTGAGAAGGATGATTCCTGCAGCTATGTGTAGGTAGATAGGAGTGAGAAGATGCTGAACTAAAGAGAGGCTTATTTGTATTTGAATTGTGGCTATAAAGATAGGGGAAAATAGGCTAATTGTTTTTTTTTTTTTTTTTTTTTTTTTTTTTTTTGGCATTGAAAGGGATATATTTAACTTTTCTTTCTCCAAAGAGATAATAAACTAATTTTTAAGTCAATAATGTATATGTGTGTATGTGTATACGTGTATATACGTATATATATGTGTATATATACACACACACACATATATATATTCTCCCAGCCCAAGCTGAATTTTTGCATCTAACTTTTAAACAAACTAATTTCATAATGTAATGGAAATAATGCTCTAACAAAAGATTTGCTTAAATCCATCTTCTTATCTTTTTAGCATGCATATCTAATACTCAATAGGGGGTAGTGATAACAGTCATATTATATTTTCTGACATTTTGGTGTATTTCTTTCTTGTATTTTTTGACTGGGCATATACTTGCATGATTGTAGTTAATAGCATTTTCACACTTATACCTGTTTTCTTATTTAATATGACAACATGAATATTTTGCCTTCACAAGCATTATTTAGTATGACTGCGTAATATTGTCATTTTCTTTCCTTTTAGTTTTCAAAAAAGTGTATCATTTCCATCAGTTCAATTTTCTCCGTCCTTATGCTTTGATCTCAAACACAGACGTGTATATATATGTATAAATAATAAAAACACAAATGCTTGTGGAAGGAGAGTTCCCAATTTGAATATTTATATAAAACAAACACAGTGAGAGGGAGTCTTTTTGCTTGTTTTGTTTTATTCCCACAGGGACTGACATTTTTAGCAAATTAGTTGTCTATAATTATACCAAATCAAGAGATTTTTACATAAAGAGTCAAATTTATCCCTTGGAAAAAATCAGACAATTTGTCAATACTAGAACCTGTAGTTACATGTAGTGACTGTCTAGTGGATTTGAGTGTTGCGTGTCTCTTTTAGACAGGGTGTGTGTTCACTTTTTCATCACCATGTTGTCCACTGGAGGTTTCCAACATTGATATTACTTGCCAGGGATGTGGGCATTTCATTTTGACACTTGATCTAGAGTAAAATAAAGGATAAATGAATGATGTCTCTTCAATAAAAGCTGAAGCTGTCACTTCTCATTTAGCTACATGTGACTAACTTACTGTCTACTTGAAAATTCTTTTGGGGTGGCCCTTTCTTCTATCTAGCAAAGAAAAAAAATGCAATTTTAGCATTTATCCAAGTGAAACAGAATTAGAAAATTAAGTCCACTACAGATCACATACAACATTCCAAAACAAAGTCCAGAAAAGCTAATTGTTTCATATCACCTATTTGCATCTCTGTTCCCCTTTATTAGATGAAAAATCAAGAACCAAATTCTTTCTAGTTCTCTGTCAGTGTAACTTTTGTTAATTTGCTCACTTCTGGGCCAAATGTTGACATTAAAGGAACACAGAAGTTGTTTGTACCTAAACGTGTTTTGTGAATCACTTGGGATTGCCATTGTTGGTACCATGTGTCCTGCTTAATAAAAAAAAATAATAGAATGAACTCTTTCCTTATAATCATACAGGTCTAGTCTTAATGAGAGTCACAGTTGCTTTGTGCCAATGAAGAGCTTTTCTCTTTGGTAAGATTGCGTGAAGAAAGTATCCATGATAAAGCATACAAAAGTATCTTGGGTATTTCCAAGCCTTAATTTAGTCATAGCAAAATTTTTCATTTTCTTTGTAGGTGAAAATAAATAATGACTTTAATTATGAATTTTACAATAGTACTTGGTCTTATGTAAAACATACATCGTCAGAACATACATCATCTAGTCGGAAGCGCTTGTTTTTTATATCTTCATCATCTTCTTCACGCAGTTATTCTTCACAGACCAATGAAATCCATAAACGAAAGGTTAGTATAAAATGTCAACTAACTTTTCCGTGTTTTCCTGTTTTTAAGTATTGCTTACATTAATAAACTTGTATTTATCAAAAGGATCAGCTTTCATATTAAAATTAGTAATAGTAATAGCATTTCCTTTAAGAGACAATGTAATATCTGTCTCTAAAAGTACAATATTGTCTCATTAAATCTCTTTGATAATATACTTATTTATACTGGCCAGGCGCAGTGGCTCACGCCTATAATCCCAGCACTTTGGGAGGCCAAGGTGAGTAGATTGCTTGAGCTTGAGCTCAGGAATTTGAGACCAGCCTGGGCAACATAGCAAGACCCTGTCTCTATAAAAATACAAAAATTAGCTGAACATGGTGGTGCACGACTGTAGTCCCAGCTACTCAGGAGGCTGAGGTGGAAGGATCACTTGAGCCTTGGAGGGAGAGGATGCAGTGAGCCAATATCACGTCACTGCACTTCAGCCTGGGCAACAGAGTAAGACCCTGTCTCAAACACACACACATATATATATATATATTTATTTATAGTTTTGAACTTCTCATTAAAAGTATTTGTTTTTATTTGAAGATGTTTACAAAGCCCTTATTACCTTGAAATCTTCTATTTTAAATGATCTTAAATTTCTTAAATTTGTGATTACTGGTAATACTATTTTAAGTGTCATATACAATTTTAAAAATATAATTAATGCTTATATATGCTTCTTAAATGCAAATGCCAGAGTCTTTTTAGAAGGTGCATGAAGATAAAAGAGTTTAAAAACACTTTACTAAAGATAAAAGACTTTAAAAATACTTCATTACTTTTGAGATACCAACATTTTTATCTAAGAAAGTTAAAAGATTTATTTTTAAATACTTCATTGTTTTGAAATACCAAAACTTTCCTCTTGAGAAACCTGAATAGTAGAGATGGACTGTACTAATTGATATACAGTTATGGCTGAATAACTTTTTAGGCTGATCATTATTCACAATCTGAACATTTCATCTCATTCTTAAAGTTAGTAACTTGAATAATAAATCACTTAGGAAAATATAAGGTATAATGGTTTTATTTGTTTTATGACTAAGAAGCTGACTATGGAACTATGAGTTGTAAAAACATTTACTGTCTCCACATTATATTGTTCACACAGTGGGGATTTGGCAAAAGTAGATCTGTAATCTGTCTTGGATGTAATGAAAAGATGCTTACGAAGTGTTTAAAAGACCTCATTATAAAGTAGCTTAACCTGCAAATACGCTAGCATGGGAGATAAATGATACCTACAAGTCATTGTCAAAATGTGGACCATAGGGACACATTATTTTATATACTTATATTTATCAGTTGATGGATTCATTCTCTTTTTCTCGTTGAAGATGGCATAGCAACTTGGTCTTGGGGTTTTGGAGGTTATATAAGAAATTACCATATAATTTCTTCACCTGTAATATCAGCACTTTGGGAGGCTGAGGCAAGCAGATCACTTGAGGTCAGGAGTTCAAGACCAGCCTGGCCAACATGATGAAACCCTACCTCTAGTAAAAATACAAAAATTATTTGGTCATAGTGACGCACACTTGTAATTCCAGTTACTCGAGTGGCTGAGGCAGGACAAAGCTGAATTCTCCTGAATTAATTCTGAACCCTGAATTAATGCTTTGTTGATTTCATATTGAGAGAAGGGTCTTCACTATCTGTCCAGATGTAGGAGGGGATAGTGGTGGCTTAACATGGTGTTACTCTGATTTTTCTTTCTTTTTTCTTTTTTTTTTGATATGGAGTCTCACTCCGTTACCCAGGCTGGAGTGCAGTGGTGTGATCATGGCTCACTGCAATCACTGCCTCCTGGGTTCAAGCAATTTTTCTACCTTAGCCACTTGAGTAGCTGGGATTACAAGCATACACCACCATGGCATGATAGTTTTTGTATTATTAGTAGAGACAGGGTTTCATCACGTTGACCAGGCTGGTCTCAAGTGCTCTGCCTGCCTCAGCCCAACAAAGTGCTGAGATTATAGGAGTGAGCCACCTTGCCTGGCCATTACTCAGATATTATTAGTATTTGAGACTCCAAGTATTCCTGATTGCATCCAGTAAGTGGGTCCATGGGAGTGTTCATCATGCGTCAAAAATAAAAAATTCATATAGTCTGGGTTGATTGGAGGTGAAAGTTGATGAAGATATAGAACAGAGAACTATTTCCATTGCCTTTTTATCTTCCACCTAAAACTCCTTGTACTTTCTTCTTTCCATAGAGTTATCAATTGTTGGTTGTTGAGAACACGGTTGAAGTGGCTCAGTTCATTAATAACAATCCAGAATTTTTACAACTTGCTGAGCCATTCTGGAAGGAGCTTTCCTACCTCCCCTCTCTGTATGACTACAATGCCTATCGAAGATTAATCGACCAGTATGGGACACATTTTCTGCAATCTGGGTCATTAGGAGGAGAATACAGAGTTCTATTTTATGTGGACTCAGAAAAATTAAAACAAAATGGTATAGTATTAAAAATTTTGTGGTCTAAAAGCATTTCTGGGATTTTAATGAGGAAATAACATGTAGTTAATGTAACTTTTGAGCTTTAAAATTTGACAAATAAAGATTTAAATTGCAAAGGAATCCAAAATTACAAGAAAGTGTTATTCTCTACTTAAAATCTTATATGGTTTAAGAAAAGCCTGTGTACTCTTTTGTATAGTACCTTGAGCTAAATCATTATCATTATTGGCTATTTCTAGAGGGTACTGGCTGGGTTTTTAGAATGCTTTTTAAACTTTCCACTTTCTCAGACTAAACAGTGTTTCTCAAGAAAAATTAAATGAGGAATTTAGTAATGTTTCAGAAATCAAAATGTTTAAATAAGTATTTCATTTACCTTTGTTTTTTACCACTCACATTCTTTTAAAAAAAAATCTGCTTTGAGTATCATAAGTTTGTTTACTACTTAATACTTGTAACAATAGCTTAAATTGATGGGTTACCTTCCTTATGACAAATGAGTTACATATGTTAGTAATAATCCTTACTACTACCCAATGAGATGGGCATTATAATCTCTGTCCCACAGATTGAGAAATAGAGACTCAATGCTATTATGAGACTTATCCAAGGTCACGAAGATTGCAAGGAGGGTATTTAAGGCTGGGTCTAACTGGCCTCAAAGTCAGTTTAGCTTATTCCTTATGCTATGTCATTGCTAAAATTGCCTGATTTTGGTTAGAATCAGGACATGCCCCTGAATTAATGCTTTGTTGATTTCGTATTGAGAGAAGGTTCCTTACTCTCTGTCTAGATGTGGGAAGGGATGGTGGTGGCTTAACATCCACTTCTCCACGTCAAACCTTTTTTTCCCTAACTTTGTCTTTTAGCTGATGCTCGCATTTCCGCCTCTATTCCAAATCCCCTCTTCAAGGTCTTTCTTTTTAGAAAAGATTATGTTACAACTTTGGAGAAGAATAAGATCTCTTACATAAGATTCAGAGGAAGTCTTAATAGCTTTTTAAATGGGTAAACTATAATATTTTTTCGTTTCCATTGAGCTGTTTTTTTGTAGGTCTCTACCACATAAAATTTAACTAGAATTTGATCTTTTCAAATCTTATAGGTTGGAAATGAGTGCACAAGTACAGGTTTTTGTAGCAAAGAGAAAGGACACTATTTCTTGGAGAATCAATCCAGCAAGTAGCTCAATCTAAATTCAGTTTTACTTCTTTTTATTGCACTTAAAAGAAATGGAGGGGATTAAAAAAAAAAAACATTCCAAGCTGCTAAAATTTTATTTTTCAGTAAAAATTTTACTCTTGGGCATTTTATGTTTTTCCTAAAATTTTTATTTAAATATAATCATAACTTCTGGGATACAATGATGCTCCAAATAGTTGTTCTTTAAGAAACATTAAGGTTATTGTAATATAGTTAGTAAAATGAGAAAATACATTTGCACATTTTATTATTTTCTATCCTGGTTTTAAAAAAACGCTTTGGCAAAACTCTACTTGATAATGAGTAGAAATGATCACATTCTAAGGTTATAAGTAATGGGAAGGAGTTGTTGGAAGTCACAGATGTTAAAGATGGAAAGACTGAACTTGAGTTTTAGGAGTTAATTCCTGTGGAAACAGAAGCCAACTTTGGGAGCTTTAAGTAGATTTGTTGGAAGAAGCTGTCATGCTGCTACTTTTATCGATTTATTTTATGCCTAAGAAGCTGACTGTAAATGGGTGAAAGGTGTCACTCTTTGGGGTCTTCAATTTCTACTCCCTGCACCTTTTTATGTAGAAATCCCTCCTGCCTCCCCTCTGAAGCTTATAGAAGGAAAATAACAAAAGTCAAATACCATTTTTTCTGATCTTTGACTCTTCTAGAGCGCTTGAAAATGTTAATATCATGCAACTCTTGACTAGATGGCCATAGTAGCAGGGAACAACCTCTTATCCCTACTCTCATATCAGAAGATCTTCAAGGAATGCAGAAATTAAACATGTCTCTTTTACATTTTTTCCCCCAGATTTTGGTTCAGTAGAAGAAAAGAAATGTAAATCCTCAGGTTGGAGCTTTGTCATTAAGTTTTCAAGTCATGGATGCAAGGAACTGGAAAATGCTTTAAAAGCTTCTTCAGGTAAATGAGAAAAGAGCAATTTGCATTGCAAACTTAACTTCTTTTTTAAAAAACTTTTAAGTTCAGGGGTACATGTGAAGTTATGTAGGTAAACTTGTGTCATGGGGCTTTGTTGTACAGATTATTTTGTTACTCAGGTATTAAGCCTAGTACCCACTTTTTTTTCCTGATCTTCTCCCTCCTCCCACTCTGCACTCTCCAAAAGGCCCCAGTGTGTGTTGTTCACCTGTCTATTTCCATGTATTCTCATCATTTAGCTCCTGAATATATGTGAAAACATGCAATGTTTAGTTTTCTTGCTTTAGTTCACTAAGAATAATGGCTTCCAGCTCCGTCCATGTCCCTGCAAAGGACATGATCTTATTCTTTTTTTATGGCTCCATAGTATTCTATGATGTATATGCACCACATTTTCTATATCCAGTCTATCATTGATGGGCATTTAGATTGATTCCATGTCTTCGCTATTATGAATAATTACAAGCTTAACCTCTGCTCCAGTCTTCTATTGTTAATTCTTGATCTCCAAAGGCTTTTGAGGCTTTATCAGGTGTTCTACTTTGTGTTTTAAAAAAATCTATTTGGCAATTTTTGCCTCTGCTGTCTCTTTCATATGTCATGGTAGTCAGACATCACACAGGTTAAGAAGTTCACCAGGTTATCTCCTGTGTATGATAAATATGTTATCAGTGTGCAGCACTTTTCTCCCTTATGATGATTGGCAAACAAGCCTAGACAAGTGACATTATCAAGAGACGGTTCAGTTTCACTTGCTGACATGGCTACTCCGTGGAGGTCAGGTTTTTGGTGTATGCTGGTTGGCAGTGGAGACGGAGGAAAGGTGGTATGCTAGTCTTTGGGTGATTGAAGAGGGACTGAAAGGGTAAACTGATCTATACTGTGAAGGTACCATGTTAAGGAGTTTGGATTTCATTCTGATGGCTATCGGGTTCCATTAAAATATTTAATACACGGAGTGATGAGATAAAAGATTACCTAAGTAAAGTTGTAGAGAATAAAGAACAGTGGAGACCGAGACGGGCGGATCACGAGGTCAGGAGATTGAGACCATCCTGGCTCACACGGTGAAACCCCGTCTCTACTAAAAAATACAAAAAAACTAGCCGGGCGAGGTGGCGGGCGCCTGTAGTCCCAGCTACTCGGGAATCTGAGGCAGGAGAATGGCGTAAAACCGGGAGGCGGAGCTTGCAGTGAGCTGAGATCCGGCCACTGCACTCCAGCCTGGGCGACAGAGCAAGACTCCGTCTCAAAAAAAAAAAAAAAAAAAAGAACAGTGGAGAAAGAAACATTTGGCAGGATTGAAAAACAAGAGATGGAAAGTAAAGGAGGAGTGAGGTCAACAGAGTAAAGATAAGGACCGAAAAATGTTCACTGGATTTGGTGATTAACACTTAGTTGCTGCTTTTGAGAAGTGTCTGTTCATGTCTTTTGTCCATTTTTAACGGGGTTATTTATTTTTTACTTGTTAAGTTGTTTAAGTTCCTTATAGATTCTGAATATTAGACTTGTATCAGAAGCATAGTTTGCAAATATTTTTCCCAATATTGTAGGTTGTCTGTTACACATTGATAGTTTCTTTTGCTGTGCAGAAGCAGAAACAGGAAACCGAATACTGCATGTTCTTACTTTTAAGTGGGAGTTAAACATTGGATGCTTATGGACATAAAAATGGCAACCATTGTCACTGGGGACTGCTAGACAAGAGAGGGAGGGAGGAATCAAGGGCTGAAAAACTAACTGTTGGATACTTACGCTCACTACCTGGGTGTTGGGATCAGTCGTACTCCAAAGCTCAGTATCACATAATCCACCCAGGTAACAAACCTGAATGTGTACCCCATGAATCTAGAATAAAAGTTGAAAAGAAAGTTACTTTTAAAGGAAGAGATTCCCTAGTATAGTAGGGATGGAGGTGAGACTGCATTTCATTGTGTGAGGCCATAGATTGAGCAGTATCAGAGCTTAAATACTCTTGGGGTAATGTCAAAGGTGGATACTGATCCATGTGTCATAGTTCTCGGTGAAGATGCAGGGATTCTTGGGATATTGGTAGATGAGTGCAAGAAGGAGGAAGATGACTAGTAAAACCAGGTTTATGTACTCATTCACTTACTTCATTCATCAACTATTTATGGAGTCTGTGGTATGTGTCAGGAATTGTTTCAGACATTCAAGATATAGCCGTGAATATGCCAGAGAAAGTGCTTGTCTTCATGGAGTTGACATGTCAGAGGAGGAAAAGGTTTTGAATGAAGTGGAAAAAGAAGGATCTGAATATAGAAATGGAAGTGAGAGCTTTGAGAAGATGTTGACATCAGTCCTCAGCTGGGCTGGCAGTTGGAAGCCGCTTACCAATTTTATTTTATTTCACATTTAACAAACACAGGGCACCTACTATGTGCCAGCACAATTTTAAGCGATTTACAAAAATTAACCAGTGTACTCCTGCTACCTATGTGTTAAGTATTATTCATATTCACATTTTACAGACAGGGACACTGAGGCCCAGAAATGTTGTCCAAGACTATAGTTCATAAGAAATAGATATGAATGCATAAAATGCATAAAATGCAAATGCATAAAATCTGGCTTAACAGTCTGGGGTCTTGACTGTTGCACTGGGCTGCCTTTTCCAGGGGAAAAGAGTTAGCTGGAACAGAGAGCTCACTGGGGTATGGAAAGGGAGGCTAAAGCCTTAAAAAAACAACGTAATGGTAGAATCTGTAGTTCTTAAATAGGTGTGCTGGCTAAGGCAGTGATTCTCAAACTTTAGTATGCATGACGATTACCTGGGGGATTCTCTTAAAATGCTGATTCCCAAGGTTGTTCATTCTCTCAGATATTCTCCTGTAGGTCTTGGTGTGGGCTAAGAAATCTGCAGTTCCCTCAGATGATTGTGATTCAGTCATACAGGGATGGGACTTTGTGATTCACTGCATTAAAAAGGGTAACTATGTATATATTTAAAATACAGCTAAGAATGAAGATGAAGAAGCATCAGGTAATTTGTTAAAACTATGAAGATTTACAGGCACAGAAAGTCAAATATTGCATGTTCTCATACGTGAAAGCTAAAAAAATTGATCTTATGGAGATAGAGTAGAACGATAATTATCAGAAGTTGGGGAGGAGGAGGGGTCAATGAAGAGAGGTTGCTTAATGGGTATAAACCTGTAGTTATGTACAAAGAATAAATTCGGCCAGGTGCCACCTGCAATCCCAGCACTTTGGCAGGCTGAGGTGGGTGGATCATGAAGTCAAGAGATCGAGACCATCCTGGCCAACAAGGTGAAACCCCGTCTCTACTATAAATACAAAAAATTAGCTGGGTGTGGTAGCGCATGCCTATAGTCCCAGCTACTCGGGAGGCTGAGGCAGGCGGATTGCTTAAACCTGAAAGGCGGAGGTTGCAGTGATCTGAGGTAGTGCCACTGCACTCCAGCCTGGCAACAGAGCAAGACTCTGTCTCAAAAAAAAAAAAAAAAAAAAAAAAAAAAGGAAATAAATTCTAGTGTTTGACAGCACAGTCAGGTGGCTATAGTTAACGATAATTTACTGTGTATTTTAAAATAGCTAGAAGGCAAGATTTGAAATGCTTTCAACACAAACAAATGATAAGGTGATGGATATCCTAAATATCCTGATTTGATCATTACACATTTTATGCATGTATCAAAATATCACATGCGCCTCATAAATATGTACCATTATTATGTATAAATAAAAAATAAAAAAACAAACAAAAAAGCACTGTCAGGCTTTAATGATTTCTGACTATGAGTACAATATGATCATTTTATGAAATTGCAAAATTTACACAATTACAAGGAAATGAAAACCACTCAAAATCTGATCTACCAGATTGGAAATTTCTTGTCATGACCATTACAAATGGAGATAAAGTATTTCTAAATTTATAAGGCACATAAATGGGAAAAAAGCTTCCATTAGCATTTCACACTTTTCAGATCACTTTTCATGTGTTAAGTAATAGATTCCTGTTAATTAACAGCTTATTTTTCTCATTGTTAGTATACCAGATGCAATAAACTGTTTTCCTTCTGATATTTTATTATGAAAATTTTAAAACATATAGACAAGAATGTTGTAATAAATACCCATATACCCATTTCCTATATACAATTAGCATTTTGTAATTTTACTACATACATGTACATATATTATTTATAATATTGACTGATTATTTGAAATATATATTATGTATTTAAAGTGTTTATAATATTTGCTGAACTATTGGGAAGTAAGTTTCAGATATCATAACACTTCATCACTAAATATATGCATGTATCATCTAAGAAGAACATTCTCTTGCATAATGTGATACTCACACTAAAAATATAAAGAGTATGAACAATAATTCCCTAATATTATGTACTCTCAGGCAAGAGCTGTTTTCTTTTTTAAAAAATATACCTTAGTTTTGGCTGGGCGCAGTGGCTCACGCCTGTAATCCCAACACTTTGGGAGGCTGAGGCAGTCAGATGACTTGAGGCCAGGAGTTTGAGACCAGCCTGGCCAACCTGGTGAAACCCCATCTCTACTAAAAATACAAAAATTAGCCAGGTGTGGTGGCTTACACCTATAGTCCTAGCTACTCAGGAGGCTGAGGCAGGAGAATTGCTTGAACCTGGGGGGCAGAGGTTGCAATGAGCATGCCACTGCACTCCAGCCTGGGTTACAGAGTGAGACTCTGTCTCAAAAAAAAAAAAAAAAAAAAAAAAAAAAAAAATATATATATATATATATAAAATAAAAAGAACACCACCAAAAATAAAATAAACATACCTTAGTTTTTAGAGCAGTTTTAGGTTCACAGCACAATTGAGTGCAAAGTACAGAGAGTTCCTGTATGTCCTCTGCTCCCACACAGGCAAAGCCTTCCCCGCTGTCAACATCTCCCATCAGAGTGGAACATTTGTTACAGTGGATGAACCTACATTGACACATTGTCATCCAAAGTCCATAATTTACATTAGGGTTCATTCTTGGTGTTGAGCATTTAATGACTTTTGACACATGTGTAATGACATGTGCCCACCATTGTAGTATTATACAGAACAGTGTCACTGCCCTAAATATCCTTTGTGCTCTGCCTATTCGTCCCTCCCTTCTTCCTGGCCACAATTTGTCTTTTGACTGTTTCCATAGTTTGGCTTTTTCCAGGATGTCATACAGTTTGATAGATTTTTTTTTTAATACTTGATAGACTTTTCACTTTTCATTTGCTTTCTTCTGTATAGGAACCCAAAACAATGTGTTGCGAGGAGACCCGTTCATCAGAGGGGGAGGTGCAGGCTTCATATCTGGCCTTAATTACCTAGAGCTGGACAATCCTGCTGGAAACAAAAGGCGATATTCTGCCTGGGCAGAATCTGTGACCAATCTTCCTGAAGTCATAAAACAAAAGGTATATCATGCTTTGTTTAAAGCAATAGGAAGCAGTCATGTTTATCTGCATAAGGAAAATGAAGGTGGTTAAATCAAGATGGTTAAACAGACATGGCTGTAATTAGCATTTTCTGTATTCCAACTATATTTTGTAGAGTAAAATGAATGAACACATAATAATAAGAAACAGAAGGTGTGTTATTCAATTTTAGTAGCAAATGTTAAATGTCTTGAAACTTCCAAGAGAAATTAATGACAAAATTTGCATTTTTAACTTCTGATCTAAGTTTGATTATGTTTTCCTTGGTCCCTAATTCAGAGGAGTTATAGATTCTTGCAAGGGGAAGGCATGTAAGTTTGCCTTCTGTTATGTTCCTATCACCTTTCTTTGTGTGGCCATGGCTCGTGGGCTCCTGAAGTCATACAAATTAGGATAGTAACAAGTTGGCTGGCAAAATTTTAAGATGTTTTATTGTTATCATCAGTTCTTTTATATTGCAACATACGTGTTTCCAAAAATCATTGAGCTATGCAAAATTGCACAATAAAGGGCTTACAGAAAAAAAATCAGGTTAGAGATACAGCACTGAAATTTATCATCTGTGACACTCATATGAAAAAGATAGGTGCCAATAAAAATAGTTGCCTGGTTTTATACTTGTTAAATTATTAAAAATGTATCTATACTACAATAAGTGTGGTCCATTACTTAGAAAAAGACCTGAAGCTTTCTGGGTGCTGGAAGGGTTACGGCTTGTGAGTTACCGTGAAGTGGTAGAAGAACAGCAGTCAGAAACCCGACAGACATTTGTAACAGCAGATGTGAACAGGTATAGTTTATAATGCAGGAAATGAACTGACATAGATGTTGAGGGGTGTGTGAGTGTCTGTGTGTGTCCACGCACATGAGTACGCATGAGTTTTGTGTATTCCTATGTGGCTTGTTTCAGCTGTGTGAAGCATTTTGTGCTCACCCTGTGTTTCATGTGGATATAGTTGTACATAAGAAAACCCCAAATCTGTGCTATGCTTGGAATTTTCACAGTATATCAATCTCAATGGAAAAAATTCACCTTATCAAAACAAACATTATAGCAGAACCGATTCTATGATCTATTCCCTGCATGAAAGTCAATGTCCCAGGCAAAGCCTGATTTTCAGAGATACATCTTAAAAACTCAAAAATTGCAATAGGTCCTCAAGTACTCTCCTAACCCCCATATAGTACCCATTGGCTTCCAAATACGGGTGAGGGAGGGAGGATGAATTTTTCCTAGAAAGTCTTATCTTAAAGGACCATCTGTTAATATTCAAAATGGCCTATATTCATTGTCAGCATCCCATACAAATCTTTAGAAATCCTTGATTAGATTAAATTATTGATTAGAGAAAGACACATGTTCTTTAACAGTGTCTACGTACTTTTCCACATAGGACTATAAATTTTCATATTTATGCTAACTTTTTAGCAGGGCAAAAAAGGAACAGAGAAAGAAAAGGCACTATGCAGGTACAGGTATATGACTATACAAAGCCATTGTGTTCGGAAGAGCTTGGGTTCTTAGGAACCAATGGTGCGTATCTCTTCCCAGTTCAGGCATCATGGTGGTAGCCTGAAATTGACTATGGTGAGAGTAGCTACACTGCAGAAACTGGTAAGTGCTACAAAGCAGAGACGTTTGTGTTCCTGGGAGAGCAGACTGTTAAAGTTGAGTTAGTACATCTGTGATTTCACAGTTGCTTTTCTTCTGAAAGAGCCAACGCAGAGTAATAATGTTTACCTGTTTTAAATTTCTCCTTGAGGAAAGAATCCATGATTTCCACTAAGAGATATGTTAAATCTCTCAGTCAGGAAATTTAATTCTAAATTTAATTTCACTTGCTTCTTTGCTGTAATTTAAGTACATTTCCTTTTCTTCTGTCTTCAATAGGGTTGGTAATGTATTATCTTCAAAATAATCTTCCATTAACTAGAAAATGAATGACCTTTTCTATTTTATTTTATTTTATTTTATTTGAGACGGAGTTTCACTCCTGTTGCTCAGGCTGGAGTGCAATGGCACAATCCTGGCTCACCGCAAACTCTGCCTCCCAGGTTCAAGTGATTCTCCTGCCTCAGCCTCCTGAGTAGCTGGGATTACAGGCATGAGCCACCACACCTGGCTAATTTTGTATTTTTAGTAGAGATGGGGTTTCTCCATGTTGGTCAGGCTGGTCTCGAACTCCTGACCTCAGGTGATCCCCCCTGCCTCAGCCTCCCAAAGTGCAGGGATTACAGGTGTGAGTCATAGCACCTGGCCTGTTTTTTTTTGTTTTTGTTTTTGTTTTTGTTTTTTTAATCTTATGCATGCACAAAAGATACATAAAAAATTCTTCCCCCATCTGACCCTAATTTTCCTTAAGTTTGTCTTGATTTTGTTGCAGAGAGAGCACTGTTTTCTTTTGTATTTGAATAAAAAACAATTGTAACAAACTTACCAGTGGCTTTTGATTTTGTTTTAATGAGAGTCGTGCCTAAACATGAAAAGCAAAATATTCTTGCCTAAATTCCTGATTACTGACTATGATGTCTTTATTTCTATAGCTGACACCTTTATATGAGCTGGTAAAGGAAGTACCTTGTGCCTCTGTGAAAAAACTATACCTGAAACGGGCTCTTGAAGAGTATCTGGATGAATTTGACCCCTGTCATTGCCGGCCTTGTCAAAATGGTGGTTTGGCCACTGTTGAGGGGACCCATTGTCTGTGCCATTGCAAACCATACACATTTGGGGCGGCGTGTGAGCAAGGAGTCCTCGTAGGGAATCAAGCAGGTCAGTGGGGTGAATTTTCTCTAGTCACCCTGTACATACTGAAAGGGAATTACCCTGTTTCTCTGCTCCTTGAGATGCTTCATCTTTGAAGAGATGAAGTGTCAAATGAATTTAGAATCCTCCTTCCCTTTCCTACTTTCAGATTATAGTTACTGTGATTAAGACTCTTTGCTGTTATCTCTATTTATCCATCTGAACTAACAGCCCCACTGTGCCCTCCACTTCCCATTCTCTATTAGAAGAGTTATGATTAAAACACCTTCATCCTCTGTAATTATCTCAATAAAATTTTGCTGTAACAAACGTCTGTGGAACTTGTATATTTACGTTGCCTAACCTTTCTGATGGCATGCTCTTTGAAACATTTCTATTTCTTATCTGTATGATGTACTATCAATCACTCACAAATATTTGTTGAACATCTACTTTGTGCTCTACAGTGTACATGGTGCTTCAAGCACTTGGTACAAGGCTATGTGAAATTGACTTTATGAGTAGTCAAAGTATGACTACAATCTATATACTTTTGTTTCTATAGTTATTTATATGTCTGTCTCTTCTAGAACGCTCATTACTTAAGGTCAGGGTTGTTTGATTCCTTTCTTTATTCCCAGAGCTTGACAAAAGGCTTGATTCACAGAAGTCAGTAAATGAATGATAAATGAATAAATATAAGACTAGACTAAAGAGGCTTATAGACAAGCATTACAAAGGCATCTTTATCCCCAAATGTCTCTCCAAGTGGCCTGTTCTGGTAAATTAAAATTGTACAACTGTGATTCATCCCTTTGTGGCTTGGATTTCCCCTTATCTGTTAAAATGGAAGCACCCCCTTCTGCTATCTAATTAAATAGAGTGGTAACAGATTTCTTGCCCACCTCCATTCACTGTTGTGAGAAGTAAATAAATGATACAATGTACATAAAAGTGCTTTGAAACAGTTGTAATATAATCAACAAATAAAGGATATTATTGCAAGAGGTTCACTAAGGCAACCTTAATATGGACATTCCTAGTCTGTGTGTAGAGCCATTCTGAACATTGTAGAAAACCTCAATGAAGGTGAAGGTAATCAATATCCAGAATGATCTCTTCCTCCAGTTAAGTTGTTAGCAGGAAGCATAGCACTAAGTTCCCAAGTCCTCTTTAAGAACTTTTTGATCAACCTCTTTCTCATCTTGTAGGAGGGGTTGATGGAGGTTGGAGTTGCTGGTCCTCTTGGAGCCCCTGTGTTCAAGGGAAGAAAACAAGGAGCCGAGAATGCAATAACCCACCTCCCAGTGGGGGTGGGAGAACCTGCATTGGAGAAACAACAGAAAGCACACAATGCGAAGACGAGGAGCTGGAGCACTTGAGGTAATGGAGACCCGACCCCTTGGCAGTTGCATAGAACACAGTGCCCTCTTCAGTTAGCGTGGAACACGTGATTGCTGCTGTCGAGAGATAGAGAGATAAAAAAGTTAAATGGCTATTTTTACCAGGGACTGCTTTGTCCCTCAGCACTAGGGTGAGTTGAAGGAGCTTGCTCTGTGTGCTTCAGGTTTTCCTGAAACAAGTGTTACAAAAGGCTGGGTAATTGGGAAGTAGTCCAGCTGAGTGGATACGATCATTCAATCATTTGTTTTGGCCACCTACTTGCTGTGTGACGTTGGGCAAGTTACTGGCCACATCTCTAAAATTAGCATAATGATGGCAGATAAACTGATACTAAGATGATCTGTTTATTGTTATTGTCAGAATTAAATGAGATTAGCACCCAAAGTTTGTATTACTTTTCAGATATACCATTCTTACTCATTTATTTTTTGGATTAACCATAGAGCCAGTTGCTTGAGTTGGAGAATATCTTGGTGGGTGAACCCAGTAGCCTGGCACTAACTTCTCATTTGTCAGGACCCTGCCAAAGCCATCTCAGAAATGCTCAGTTGATGAATCGTAGCCCTGGGTCAGAATTCTTTATGCCATACCCTACATTCTCCTTAGTCATTTTTGCAGACTGGAGTTGGCAATATGTTCTAGTAAGATAATTCGAAGGTCATGTGACTTGAAGAAAGAGATGAGGTGTTTGGGTATCTGGTAGAAGCATAGGGAGGTGGGAAGCCTTATTCCTAAATCTTCGGTGCCTTGTAATCCAGCATTCATCAGTATATCTTGACTGAGGAAGCTGACAAGCACGTGAATTATGGTGGGAAGAGGATGCTGGCTGCTGTGCTCATGTTTCTGGGAGGATGAGGGTCTGGGAGGAGATCTCTGAGAGGATGCATTTTTCCTGCTTTTCAACATAAAGCGAGGGGAAGAGGCACATCCTAAGAAAGGCATTGAAGAGATTTTTCACTCTTGGTGCTCAGGGGAGGGGAAGTGTCTTCCTTCTCAGTACGAATAGGAAAATTAAACTTGCCACAGTTTCCTCAAAGTGTGGCAAGATGATAAGGAACTCAGCTGAGAAGGAGGCCACACTCCCAGTCTATTTGTACTACTTTCTCTCAGATTTTGTGTCTCTAGAGTGGAGATAACATTAGTGCTATTTTGACCTTAGAGGCAGTCTTGAAAACCATTGTTTAATGACAGATGTCATCGTTATCAGTATCTTTATTACAGGCTCCCTTAAGAGATGGTCATAGTGATAGTAAAGTGTCAGGATTGGCATTTGTGGGATAATATTAGGACTTCTCTTCTCCCATCTTACTTTTACGTTTAAGATTTACTCCAAGCCTTACTAAAACTTGCCTTCACCAAATAATGTGCTTTCAGTTATACACGTTCAGAAAAAAATGTAGACACTAAGACTTCCTATTTCTTTATTGCCTTGTGAGAGGTAGAAGGTGCAAAATTGTAGGAGCCTAATTGACTAGATGTAAATCCAGTTTTGGTATTTATTAGTTCATAATCTTGGACAAGTTATTCAAACTTTCTGTGCCATTGTTTTTTCCATGTATTTCATGGTGTTGCCATATGAATTGAGATAATACATATGTGCAGAGCAACTGCCATGGTGCCTGACATATAGTAAATGCTTAGTAAAAGGTAGTTATAATTTTGTGTTACCTCTCTTTTGGGGTCACTAACTCTAATTAATTATCTTCTTTTTTTTTTTTTTTTGAGATGGAGTCTTACTCTGTCACCCAGGCTGGAGTACAGTGGTGGGATCTCAGCTCACTGCAAACTCCACCTCCCAAGCTCTGGAGATTCTCCTGCCTCAGCCTCCTAAGTAGCTGGGATTACAGATGTGCATCACTGTACCTGGCTAATTTTTGTAGTTTTAGTACAGATGGGGTTTCACCCTCTTGGCCAGGCTGGTCTCGGAACTCCTGACCTCAGGCTATCTGCCTGTCCTGACCTCCTAAAGTGCTGGGATTACAGACGGGAATTGTCGCTCCTCGCCCAATACCTTATTTTCAATACAGAATTAATTCTGTATTAAATGAATTTCAGACCCAAACAGCAAGAGGAAAAGTAGGTTTTGAAGCAGGTGACCTCTAGGAAGCAGAAAGTACTATGTTGGCCAAGAGACTTTCTTTTTCTTTTCATTCTTTCTGTTTGTTTTTCATACTACTGACCCAGCAGCTATTGAAATCACTGTCTTTTGTTAGCTTGAGTTTATGTTTGAGTTTTCTACCACAGGATGTAAGCAGATATTTGGTTCTAAGAATGACAAAAATATTACACCAATGTACTTAAATGAATGGAGTTCCTTCAGATACAAAGGAGAAATCCAATGTAATGCAAAATAATTATTATACTGTGCAAATCAATCACATTAATTCCTTTTTTTTTCCTTCCAGGTTGCTTGAACCACACTGCTTTCCTTTGTCTTTGGTTCCAACAAAATTCTGTCCATCACCTCCTGCCTTGAAAGATGGATTTGTTCAAGTTGGTTATGAAAGATATTTTTTTCCTTTATAATGCTCCAACTTCTATCTCTCTACTGAGCCCATAACCTATTCTCTTCTTTCATGGTGAAGCTGTGCAAAAAATATTTTATATGTGCATATTAGTTTTAGTGGCAAGGGTTTTAGTGTGTGACTTTTTTTCTTTGGCCCAAGGTGATCTGAACTCTGCAGAAGGCAGTGTATCTTCTGTGGCGTGGGAAATCAATACTGCCACTCAGTGAATCAAAAATGTCATCATGCCAGAGGGCTGCTAAACATTGCCACTGGAAACACCAAACTGTGAATCTACAAGCTTACTCTTTAACTTACAGAACTTCTCTTATTTTTGCCACTGAGAGAAGGCTTTTCCCCCGCTCATAACTGTAGACCTTGGGATGAAGTATTAGGTTTATTCCAGGAGTCAATAAGACAGTTAGCCAGTGTCTAGTGAGATATGCATCATTCTACTTTGAGCAATTGAACTTTCCTGTTCAGGAAAGAAGAGTAGTCATCTGCCATTTGTCATTCTAGGGACTTTTGTTGTTCTTGGCTTTTGGGACATTTTAGTTAATGCTACTCTCAGTCTTTATGATGAGGCTTTGGCTTGAAGCCCCAGTGGTGCCTCTTCATGGCTCACACAGGATATTGTTCTTGAGGACTCTCTCTGTTACCAGCACTGCTTTGCTCACGAGGGTTTTTGCTTTTCAAATCTCAGGCCCTTTACCATGCATTCACTGAAAATTTACTGAGGTTTCCCCAAATGTAGGCACTATTGGGAGATGAAAGTTGTGTGTTCGTGGTGTGTGTGTTTGTGGGGGGAGGGGGAGAGAGAGAGAGAGAGAGAGAGAGAGAGAGAGAGAGAGAGAGAGAGAGAGAGAGAAAATGAACCTAGCATCTCTACCAACCATTCTGTCCTACCACAGTCACCATAATTTATGGAGCTCCTGAATGGAACATATGCTCAGAGAATAGGTCAAGCAAGCTCATGCACGTTAGCAAGCCATGAGGCTGATGTCTTCAACTGCAGTGCATGTGGTGTCGTTTTAGGAGCCAAGAGTCCCAAATATTGCTCTATGGACTGGCTGCATCCGAATTTCTCAGGGAACTTAAAACTAGAGATGACTGCTTCTCCCTTGTCCTCCACATTTTCTGATTTGATAGGTTGGGAGTACAGCCTGAGAGTCTATTTTTTAATTTTTACAAGTGATTATGATTTATAGCCATGTTTGTGCACTGTTGAATCAGACTTCCTCATATAAAAGTTTTTGTTTTGTTTTGTTTTTGCAAGGTAGAGGAAGGAATAGGATCATGAGTCAAAAGAGAAGATGTGCTCCTCCCCATTTCCCTCAAACCTCAGCATCAACCTGGCCCGTTCTGTTTCCTACTAACTTCCATGATTGAGCCAGACCGGGCCAGGAAGTGCATACTGACAATGGGAAGGAGATACCAGGAAATCTTGTTTAATCCCTAAAGCAGAGCTGGTCAAGGTCTGAGCTCTAAGCCCTCTCCCAGGCTTGAGTTTTTTCACCATCCCCCTGGGTGGAAGAGAATGAGAAGGGTAAGGAGAGACCCCGAGTGAGTGTGATTACCCTTCATTCCAACCCCCCGGCTCAGACTTCAAATTCCTCCTTGCTTCAACATGAAAGCTCACTTCCTGGCATTATAGGCTAGTGAAATGTTCTTGAATCTGACCCAGCCCCAGCAGCATTCCATACATATGGTGTGGAGTAGGAGGTTAGGATGGGAGAAGATCAACATTATGCTTCCCCTAAAAGTTATCAGTGAGAAACTTAAACTTTCGTGAACATACTGATAGGACTGGAAAATTTCTGGGTGTTCATGCTGGCATTTTGTAGACAGTATTGTCAATGAACAGCTCATAATACCTTTTTTTTTTTTTTCTCCAGAGAGTGACAGAGTCTTGCTTTGTCACCCAGGTTGGCATGCAGTGGCACTATCTTGCCACACTGCAACCTCTGTCCCCCAGGTTCAAGTGATTCTCATGTCTCAGTTTCCTGAGTAGCTGGGACTACAGGCATGCACCACCATGCCCTGCTAATTTTTGTATTTTTGTTAGAGAAAGGGTTTTGCCATGTTGGCTGGGCTGGTCTCAAACTCCTGATCTCAGGTGATCCACCTGCCTGGGCCTCCTGGAGTGCTAGAATTACAGGCATGAGCCACCATGCCCGGCCTGGTAATACCTTAATATGAAGAGCTGACTGACAAAGATGTTCTCCAAATCTGATAAAGAACTGATTTTTCCTAAAAGTAAAAGAAATTAATTGGACAGTGTCCAAATAATTTTAATAGAATGTAATTTTAGTAGAATGCTTAGTATAGTCCTTGGTATTATGGGAGCAATCAATACATTATAGACAGTGGTATTAATAGTTTTATTTCAATTAATGGTGGTGCTAGTGTTATTGACTATATAGAGGAAAATGTTTTTATAGACACTTTTCTGAATCAGTTATTTAAATGCAACTTGCCTGATGATTATGATTTATAGACCAAATGTACATAAAGAAAATTTTGTTAATGCAAAATAGACAAACTCTTTCCTTTTCCATCTTTTACTTTTGTTTAGGATGAAGGTACAACGTTTCCTGTGGGGAAAAATGTAGTGTACACTTGCAATGAAGGATACTCTCTTATTGGAAACCCAGTGGCCAGATGTGGAGAAGATTTACGGTGGCTTGTTGGGGAAATGCATTGTCAGAGTGAGTGGTATCAGTTGTATGTAATTTAAGATGAGAAAATTACATGGAAGAGAATGAATCAAGCTAAATAACACTCACCATATGGCCCATGTGTTGGCCTTCCTCTCTTGTAAGTCTGATGTGATCCTGTTCGAGTTTTAGAAGCCACTTGAATAAGCCCTCCACCTTCTCTAGTTGGTAATGTTTCCATTCAGTGAGGTCAATTTTATTGCAATATAAAACTTTTGGTACAAATCAGAATAGGCCAGGGAACTCTCTTTAGATGAAGACCATAAGGATATTCTTTAGAGTTCAGTTACTCAGGATGTACCACAATCAATCAACTTTCTTAAATGCTTTGCATCCTATTCTATTCAGAGAAAGGCATCTGAATAATAGCTTCTGCATGCTGCACCACCCTAAAACTACTCTGGCTTCCATCTCACTTGCAATATAAGTTTGTCAGCAAATGAATAGGCCAAGCTGTAGGGATACATTTTTCCTAAATCAGTTGCTCTGTGCTATATGAGGAAATCCCTAGTGTACACACACACACATATATATTTCTCCCTTTGGGAATATACCTATTGTGAAATTTCTGAGTAATTGGGTATTCATACATTGGGTATATATACATTTAGATTTAGTGGAGGCTGCCAGCTTTCCAAGTGGTTGTACTGATTTACATCTCTAGCATAATCTGATAAGTCAAGATTGTTTTATGTCCTTACACTTGATAGCATCAGCCATAGTGGTCAGTGTATAGTGATATATATATATATATATATATATGTGTGTGTGTGTGTGTGTGTGTGTGTGTGTTTTTGAGACAGAGTCTCACTCTGTTGCCCAGGCTGGAGTGCAGTGGTGCCATCTCAGCTCACTACAACCTCCACATCCCAGGTTCATGTGATTCTTGTGCCTCAGCCTCCTGAGTGGCTGGGACTACAGGTGTGTGCCAACACACCCTGCTAATTTTTTGTATTTTTAGTAGAGACAGGGTTTCACCACGTTGACCAGGCTAGTCTTGAAGTCCTGAACTGAGGCAATCCACCCATCTTGGCCTCCCAGAATGCTGGGATTATAGGCGCGAGCCACTGTGCCCGGCCTATTTTTATATTTTTTCTAATGACTAATAATGTTAAGCTTGTTTTCATATGTTTGTTGGCCATTGGTTATATTCTTTGGAGAAATGGCTGTCCATGTCTTTTATCCATTAAAAATAATTGGTTTGCCTGTCTTTTTCTTTTTTTTTAATTTAATTTTTAATTTAATTTTTTAAAAAAATTTCCATAGGTTTTTGGGGAACAGATGGTGTTTGGTTACATGAGTAAGTTCTTTAGTGGTAATTGTGAGATTTTGGTGCACCCATCACTCAAGCAGCATACACTGCACTCAATTTGTAGCCTTTTATCCCTTATCCCCTTCCCACCATTTCTCCCTAAGTGCCCAAAGTCCATTGCATCACTCTTATGCCTTTACATCCTCAGAGCTTTCATTGCATCACTCTTATGCCTTTACATCCTCAGAGCTTAGCTCCCACTTGTGAGTGAGAACATACAATGTTTGGTTTTCTTCCTTCCTTCCTCCCTCCCTCCCTCCCTCCCTCCCTCCCTCCCTCCCTCCTCCCTTCCCTTCCTTCCTTCTTCGCCTTCCTTCCTTCCTTCCTTCCTTCCTTCCTTCCTTCCTTCCTTCCTTCTCCTTTCCCTACTTCTTTTTCCTTCTCTCTTTCTCTCCTTCCTTCTATCCTTCTCTCTTTCTCACTCTCTCCTTCCAGCCCCAGCCGTTCCACCACCACCACCTTCTTCCCTCCTCCCTCCCTCCCTCCTTCCTTTCTCTCTCTCTCTTTCTTTCTTTCAACAGCAGCAACAGCAGCAACAACAACAACAACAACAGCGCAACAACAGCAACATGGCATAGCAGCAACAACAACTTAACAACAACAACAACAACAGCAACAACAACAACAACAGCGCCTTTCTCTCTCTCTCTCTGTCATTATCTTCATTATTTATTATTGCTTCCTTCCTTCCTTGTGTCCTTCCTTCCTTCCTTCCTTCCTTCCTTTCTTTCTTTCTTTCTTTCTTTCTTTCTTTCTTTCTTTCTTTCTTTCTCTTTCTTTCACTGCTGCTCTTTCTTTTCTTGACCCAGAGTCTCTCTGTCACCCAAGCTGGAGTGCAGTGGCATGATCTTCTTTCTTTCTTTCTTTCTTTCTTTCTTTCTTTCTCTCTCTCTCTCTCTTTCTTTCTTTCTTTCTTTCTTTCTTTCTTTCCCCTCCCTCCCTACCTCCCTCCCTTCCTTCCTTCCTTCCTTCCTTTCTTGACAGAGTCTCTCTTGTCACCCAAGCTGGAGTGCAGTGGCATGATCTCAGTTCACTACAACCCCTGCCTCCTGGGTTCAAACATTCAAGCAATTCTCCTGCCTCAGCCTCCTGAGTAGCTGGAACTACAGGCGCATAATGCCACAACCAGCTAATTTTTGTATTTTTAGTAGAGACAGGATTTCACTATGCTGGCCAGGATGGTCTTGAACTCTTGACCTCTTGATCTGCCTGCCTCGGCCTCCCAAAGTGCTGAGATTACAGGCGTGAGCTACCGCGCCTGGCCCAATGTTTGGTTTTCAATTCCTGAGTTACTTTACTTGGAATAATGGTCTCCAGTCTCATCCAGGTTGCTGCGAATGCCATTAATTAATTCCTTTTCATGACTGAGTAGTATTCTGTCATATATATATACCACAGCCTTTTTATCCACTTGTTCATTGACTGATGGGCATTGTCTTTTAGTTATTAATCTCTCTCTCTCTTTCTCTTGGAATCCTTAAGCAGAAACAAATGAAATACAATATGAATATAAATATTTGCTAGTTGGGAGTAATAAAGCCAAAAGTTTATTCTTAGAAAATATTAATAAGAAACTTCCACTTGAAGGGCTTCTTTTCCTTTATTATGAATCTGCTGATGAAACATTGTTCCAGTTTTTGTTTATCTAAAGTGTCTGTCTTTCACCTTGACTTTTCAAAGGATTTTTTTTTTTTTTTTTTGAGACAGAGTCTCACTTATCACCAGGCTGGAGTGCAGTGGCGTGATCTCGCCTCACACTGACCTCCGCCTCCTGGGTTCAAGCGATTCTCTTGCCTCAGCCTCCTGAGTAGCTTGGATTACAGGTGTGCACCACCATGCTCAGCTAATTTTTGTATTTTTAGTAGAGACAGGGTTTCACCATGTTGGCCAGGATGGTCTCTCCATCTCTTGACCTCGTGATCTATCCACCTTGGCCTCCCAAAGTGTTGAGATTACAGGCATGAGCCACCATGCCTGGCCAGGATATTTTTATTAGGTAAGACGTTCTAAGCTAGCAGTTATTTTTTATTTTAATTAATTAATTAATTAATTTATTTTTGAGACAGAGTTTCATTCTTGTCTCCCAGGCTGTATTGCAATGATGTGATCTTGGTTCATTGCAACCTCTGCCTCCCAGGTTCAAGTGATTCTCCTGCCTCAGCCTCCTGAGTAGCTGGGATTACAGACACCCACCACCACACCCAGCTAACGTTTGTATTTTTGGTAGAGACAGTGTTTCTTCATGTTGGCCAGGCTGGTCTCAAACTCCTGACCTCAGGTGATCCCCACCCCTCAGCCTCCCAAAGGACTGGGATCCTAGGCATGAGCCACCATGCCTGGCTGCTAGTAGTTATTTTTTTAAAGTCATTTGAAGATATTATTAATATTACATTGCCCTCTGACAATTGTTTTCTAGGGAGAAGTCAGCTTTTAGTCTTGCAATTTTTTCTTTGGAAATGATGCCTTTTCTCTCTGACCACTTTCAAGAAGATTATTAGTAATTATTACCATTTTTTGCTTTTTCAATAAGTTTATTGTCCTTATCTGAAAAATCCTCATGAAAAATTGTTTGGTTTAGCTCTCAGCAGCCTGCTCCTGAGCTCTGAAGAAGTTTGCCTTATTTTGAGCTAACCTATCTTTCTTCTGGGCAAGTGACATTTTGGGAAGGTTCCACTTCTTTTTAACTTCTTTCTTGGTCTTCTTTTCATAGACTGGAATGTCTCGTATAGCACCATGAACCTTCTTTTTTTTTTTTTTTTTGAGGCAGAGTCTCGCTCTGTCGCCCAGGCTGGAGTGCAGTGGCCAGATCTCGGCTCACTGCAAGCTCCGCCTCCCAGATTTACGCCATTCTCCTGCCTCAGTCTCCTGAGTAGCTGGGACTACAGGCGCCCGCCACCTCGCCCGGCTAGTTTTTTGTATTTTTTAGTAGAGACGGGGTTTCACTGTATTAGCCAGGATGGTCTCGATCTCCTGACCTCGTGATCCGCCCGTCTCGGCCTCCCAAAGTGCTGGGATTACAGGCTTGAGCCACCGCGCCCGGCTGAACCTTCTTATACATCTCCTCCATCATGTCTGGAGTTACACCATTCTTTATGTATTGAGAAAACTTTTTCTTGTAAGCATCTTCATCTTCTTTCCTTAAGTAGTGCATGCAATCTGCAACTTTCTGGCCCATGATGTGATTCCGGTGTAGTTCTGCATTTAATTTCTTGCTTTCAGAATCATAACCAGGGACTTGTTTGGTACTGTGAGGGATAGATAAGCCTCCATCCACAGCTCCCTTTAGGGTGCTAAAAACTTTATTGCCACTGGTAGTTCTGGCCAGACCTGCATCCAGATAGCACGTAAAGGCACCCGGCTGACCATCGATACTTTTCACATTGTATTCATCTCCAGTCACCTCCACTTGGCCTTCATAGATCCTGTCCATGCCAAACCTATTGAGAAGCCTGCGGGCCAGCAGCAGGCCAGTACAATATGCTTTAGCGTCATTTCTCAGGCCAATCTTCACACCGTATTTTGGCAGTTTATGTGCATACACTGCACAGACTATCATGATACAGGACTAAGCATTCTGACAAATGATACCTCTGTTTGTTACACAAAGTATCATCCTGTATTTGGGTGTGCTGTATTTATTTTTATCCGGTATCACCAAGCATTTCCAAACATCGTAATC